TTAAAGGACTGTCTTTGTGCATGATCTGGGACCACAAGAAATGTCTCATCATCCCAGTGTTTCTCAGTGCAAGAATCACTGAGGACCCTCCACCCAGGTGGAGCAGGGACGAGCACCGTCTGTCTCCTGAGTAGATTAGAGAGAGTACAAAACTCCACCAGAACAAAAACTTTAAAAGAGCAAAAAAACAGAGTACAAACTCTAGGGAACATTACAGAAGGCTTCTACTCTTCTTTATGATCCCAAGTCTGGCAAATATCAGGCACTCTTAAGAGTATTACACCCAAAGAATTATCGACTAATAAATTTAATCTTAAAATGAATTAAGTAAGGCATTCTAGATGGAATACTATTGTGCAAAAAGAAACATTTGTAAATACAGTACAACATCAAATATACTTCCATTAAGACAGCTATATGTAATTTTAAAACTCATTTAAAAGCCATTCCAAAAATAAGAAAACGTTATGCTCTATTATGATAACAGTGTCCTACTATCATATGACAAAAAGGCAAACATATACACGGACATTTATATAATGACACATGAATGGTTTCACATGCTATTTATTATTGTGACCACATAGTGCATATTTTCCACTTTTTTCAAGAGTCTTCCTAATAACTGCTGGGAGGCAGTAAACTAGGTACTTGTAAGACTGTGTTTTAAATATAAAAATCTGTTTCATCCAAATTGATATTTACATTTTTAAAAATTTATCTGGACACAAATACGTTTTAATTTTCACCCCCCCAGCCAGTTCTGAGGAACAAGTACATTCATCCGAGACCTTGTATGGCATACTTAAATCCAGAACAAAGTTTTATGTTCAAGATATAAACCCCAGAAAATAAGAATTTATAATGAAAACATTGACAGGCATTTAACCATATCAGTATGGATGGTTTATGCTATACAATATCAGTCTTACTTTTATTTTCTTTTAGACCATGTGAACAGACATCTGTAGTAGTACATCTCTAGTGATACACATTACGGAAAACTATGGGGAAGTTATAAAATATGTTATAGAAATTACATCTCTGAACATAGAAACAGACAATATGAAATGTTTAGTCATACTCAAGTCACACAATGTTTGACAGCAACTACCATATTTTGAAGCTACAAGACTAAGGTCTTTACTAGACTTTCGGTTGTTAAATCCATATCTGGCAAACAACATGCACACAGACATTTCATTAACATGAGCAGTTTGAGAGTTCAGAGGAACAAATGTATACAAATAGTTAATGTATGCAAATGTTTTCAAGATCTGTTCCTAGAAGTAGTTCTTTATGTTAACAGATTACTGCTAAAAATCCGATTTTGAGACCCAGTAATTTTCTGTTCACTATTCATTTCAATTTTATGAAAAGATATTATATTAAAATTTAGAATTGACAAAGATTTAATAAAATAATGAGAAACCATACTATAGATATTTACTTAATAAAGACTTACACCATATGCCCAACACCATGTTCATACGGATGTATTGTACTTTAAACTAATGCTAGAAAAGTACGGTTTCCTACTAGTAGTTATTTTAGTAATTAAACACTACACAACAATTTAATATTACCTAGGACTTTATTATATGGAAAAAAGCCCCAACCCTAAGTCTACCCCTGTAACTTCTTCATCATTACTTTTGCTTAATTTTACAAGCACCATAATTTTCTTTGATCTACAGGCGAGGAAAAGCCAAATTATCACATGCAAAAAATGTGATATAAGTAGCACAACACTCAAAGCGTTAAAGAAATAAAAGGTCTTTTTAAGAAATGAGAACCTATAATAATTAAAACACACAGCAAAGCAATATAAGCTATCTTTTTACATTATAGCTTGGTGGTCTGCTTCAGAAAACATGTACATGGAATCTTCATAATCATGACTTGTATCAGTTGCTTCTTAGTATGCATAAAGCAGATTAAGTAGTTTTTACACTAAAAGTTTGGTGGGTATTGTTGTGATTTTGAAGTAGGTTTTTTTAAAAGATTTAATTTCTGTGAATTAAATCCTGGCATGTCCTGAGTGCATCCTACATTTCCAAAGAAATTCAAAACATTCAACTCTAATAATGTAGGCTCAAGAAGTGACACTTCAGTGTCACACAACAAACACAATAGAGCTGTAGTCATCACTGACAATGAAGAAACCTTCAACCAGTGTGATGGTAGTTTGCCTACGGGCAAAGATTTTTCTTTTTTCCCAGTATTCTCGCTTTTCTTAAAGTACTTGTAAATGTTCCTAAGGTGGCAGGGTGTACTTTCTGTATGAATGAATTCTAGACGGGAAGCTTTTCATATAGCCCTGGGTGTGCAGAACAGCAAATGCCTAGTGCCATCTACTGGGAGCGTCTGCTCCTGCTCAGACTTGCCATCTTGTCTACAAAAAATGTCATGGACAAACGGTGCACTAGGTGTGCACAAATTGAAACGTTTATGCCAAACTTCAGACAAAAAAATATTTTAAAAATACAATTTGGAAGAACAGATCCGAACTCCAGGTGCTAATATACAAACAGAAAAAGAACAAGTAAAAACATTTCACCAGCACAAGTGAAACTCACAAGTAGTTACAAAATAGTAGTTCAAAGAAGGGACAGGTCATCTCTATTCTAAGATACCTCCCAATAGTATTTAATTAATTTAATGGAGGGGTGGGAGGAGAAAAAAAAATCCCTTGTTTCTGATCTACAGCTATAGATTAAATATAAATTACATATTGTATTGTGTTATTTTGTTCCTTACAGGAAGGACAGAGGTACCATTTCAAGCATAGAAATTGAAGCAATTCTTTCATTCTTTTCCTGCAAATATTTAACTGCATAGTATTTAAAACATTGTTTGAAAGCCCAGTTTACTACTCTGACAGCACTTTGCTTCCTTACTCTAAGTACGGATTTCAGACAGTTAAAAAGTCTCATTCAGTGTTGAATTTGCCATTGAATTAGAAGGTGGTCAAGCTCCACAGTGTCCCAGACTTGGTGGACACATGGCACAGTGATATGGTTACAGGACTGCAATTCACACAGAACTGGATGGTGGGAAAGTACTAGCTCAAAGTGTTATGTTATAAAAAATTCATGAGAACTTGGTGTTTGGGTGTTTTCTGTATATTCAGAAGCCAAAGTCACAAGGCATTGTGGCATTTAAGCAAATGTTGGCTCTACATTTCCTTCCCATGTTTTATTTGATACATGCTATGCCGTTTACTTGCAACTCCTTAAATAAACCACACACAAAAAAACAAACCAAAGGCAAAGCAAGTCTATGTTAATTTTTAAGCATCTGAGGAATTTAGATTACTCTTAAAATATGAGAGATATATGATCGTATATTATTGCACTGTTAGCAGATGAATTTGGGCTTATTATATAAAAATATCTCTATATATCTCTATAAAGTAGTCAGTCAGTGGAATTCAATCTATTAATGGTCCCACAGTTAGGGATCTAGGGGGTGGGAATAAACAGTAGTGTTAATTTTTTATTCCAAAATATGATTACTGGATTATGACAGAAAAACAGCTTGATGAAACAGCTAATGCAGTGCATTGGAAACAGGTACAGAACAACAAAACATCCCATGGGCTGTGTGTGTTCCTAGCTGATCAGCTTGCAGATCTCATTTTCAGAGTAGGAACAAAATGGCCAGAAGACTGAGTGCCCCTATGTTAAGGTAGACACCAGCAATATGAGCACACATCAAAAGGTGCATAATGAGGGCTAAGGAAATTTGCTTACCCTATATTTTTAGGATTTTAAATCTGGCTCAGCAGAAAATATAACAGGAAACCGAGGTCAAGCTGACACAATGTGGGTTATTCTCTCTCTTCCTCAATATGTGTTTGCAGTTCCTATCAAGGTTAACGGGAGTTTTGTGCACATGAGGGAGAAATGGAACGTAAATGCTGCAAAAATTGGACTGATTTAGTTCAGATAAACTCTAATAAGCTTTAGGACAATCCATCAGCTTGAAAACTGATGTCTTATCACTGAAAAAGAAATATTTAAAACACCACCTCCATGTGCTTGCTAAGTCCAGGTCTGGGAGAAACTGCTTGTAACATTCTGCACTCTTATGAACCAGTTGTGAATGTAGCACAAACACCCAAGCTGGCCCATTTTAGAGGCTTCAAACACAGATCAGCCAGGACTGTATCTTTTTTATTTGAGGATCCAGAAAATTTTTAGTAATGTTCAAAATTAACTCAGTACAGTGTATACTTTCTGTACACTGACATTGTTACATTGACATTACAGACTGTTGCCGTTTAAGTGAAACACAAAATACTTAGGAGGTTCAAGGTTTTCGTTATATAATCAATTCATAGAGATAGAGTCTTATGGCACCCTTCCCAGATCTAATGGACAAATCTGGACCTTACATGAAAAGTGCAGCTGCATGTGGGCATCAAATTGTGTGTTTCCACTTAGTTATGTAGAGAAGCGTCACGTAACTAAGGAATATGCTGTCAGAGGAATGAAAGAAGTTTTAAATTCTGCATACTTTTTCACACATAATTTTCAGTACAACATACTTGATTATAATAAAAATGTGAAAAAAACCACATGGAGTATAACTATAGTATACTGCTAAATATTTTGGAAAATATTTTTAACTATGCAATGATTTGATAGCAATCGACATATGAAATTCTTTTAGATATTATCTTTTAAAATTAGGAATGACATTTAATAAAATATTTTCAGTTTAATTATACAGTTTTTGCCAAGAATGAGGAAAAAATATAAAATTTAAGAGACAGTATTTTGGACAAGGAAGCATTCCAAGCTTCTTAAAATCTCAGATATGAAATCACTCACTCAACTCAGTGACTTTTACAAAAAAAAAAAGCGCAAATAAGCTTCTGCTTCAAAGGAAAATTTAAACATAACAACCCATAGCACATTGTTTCCTGCAGCAGAGACACCCATTTCTATAAGGGCCTTTATTATGCATGACACAACAAGCAGCACCCATTCAACCTGAGGGAAGCCCACAGGCTCCAAGGGCCACTGGCTGGCTCTTTGTCACCAAATGCAGCAGGTTGAATGCAGACATCACTGTGATATCCTCACCAACAAAACCAGAGGCAAAGAACAGGGGCAAGAGCTGAGTAGGGAAGAAAAAAAAAGAAAAAAAAAAGGATGAGAACAAATTAAAACATCAAAAATGTTAAGATACATTCATAGAAAAAAACAATACTTAAAATTTTATAAGACTACCACATGGGACTACAATTCTAAATGCACTTCTCTTAGCGCATTTAAGCCATTTTTGCTATCCCCACCCCCCAATATTTTGATACATATTACACAGTATTCAGTGAAACCATTTTATATGCTACAAAGTGAGAGGGACTGGACATTTTTATAGGGGACATTCACAACAGCTGCTTTAGATACCCAACTGAGAGCAACTTGGCCGAGTCACAAGTGCAGGGGTACTAAGGAAAAAAAAACTTAAAACCTTAGCTAGATAGTAGGAATTCTGTTTGGAACACCTGGAATGCTGGGCAAATCAAACATGCAGGCATTTTCAGTTTCTTTTATTTAAACCAAGATCACATTCCACAACATTTCTGAATGGTGAATGCTGGAAACCAGTAAAAAATTGTTCTTTTGACGACTTGTTTGAGGAATGTGACATTTCATTGCAATAAACTTGCCAGATATCTTAAAACCATGGCTTTTCAAGGGCAGGAAATAATTCATGTTGCAAACTGTCCACAAGATATATTTAAACAATCTTCCAGCCAGTTCAAATATAGCAGACAGAAAGATGGCAGTCATGAGATTTTATTTCAGAAGAGTTTAATGTACAAATACTAATTGTTCTGGTCACCCTGCAATGGGAAAGAGGAAACGCAGCTGCCTTACAGCCCAGCCGTGCACAGCCACAGCTCACTTCAGATGATTATGCGATGCGGGACTGGAGCCTATCCCCATCCCATCCCAACATCCCCAAAGTTGGGACAGAAACTCTCTGGGACTCTCGTGGAAGCAGGATCAGGCCCCAAGAAGCTGTGGAGCAGCAGGGCAGGTGGCTCAGCCTCCTCTCAGTCTCATTATTTGTCCATGGCAGCCCAGGAGCCGCCGGGGGCAGAGTCCTGCCATGGCCCACAGCAGAAGCTGTGCCAGCGCGGGACAAACTGACCACCGTCTCGGCCTGAAGAACAAGGCTCTGAGAGGAAGGACACTTACGGAACACCCCAAACAGGTGCAGACGCCCCATCCCTGACAGCATGCAATGTCAGGCTGGACGGGACTCTGAGCAACCAGATGTAGTTGAAGTTGTCCCTGCCCATTGCTGGGGATTGGATTAGGTGGCCTTTAAAGGTCTCTGCCGAGCCAAACTGTTCTGTGATAATTCTATGACTATAACAAGGACCCAGCCCCTAGCCGTACCCATTACCAAACCGGAGCGCATCGACAGAAACCTGCTCGCATGCACACGCCTTAACTCGGCCGTACCCAAACCAAATTCTCTGCGAGACCCCCGATACTTACGCGCTACCCGACGGCGGCGGGGTAGGGGGCCGGGCGGGCACTGCGGGGCAGGCAGCCCGTGAGCGTCATCACACACACAAAGTGCCTGTCAGAGCGGCAGCACATCCGCGTGAAAACCAGCGCGAACCCCTCCGGAGCAGACCGCCAGCAGACCAGAGGGCTGCGCGCAGCCCCGCCGCAACTCCGCCCTTGCCCCCCAGCCGGCACTGTCCCGCAGCCGGCACTGTCCCGCTGCCGGCACTGTCCCACAGCCGCCACTGTACCGCAGCCGCCACTGTCCCGCAGCCCCGCAGCCGGCACTGTCCCACAGCCAGCACTGTCCCGCTGCCCCGCGCTGAGGCGCTGCGCCGCGCTGAGGCCGGTGCCGCGCTGCGGCAGCAGCGGCATCGAGCTCCCCCTGCCGGCGGGCAGCCCGCCCCGGCCTTCTCGGATGGCGCCGCCTGGCGGCCGCTGCCCAGCACACTGCTACGAGGCGCTGCACAGACAGCCCAGACAGAAGCCTCCTCCCTGCCCTCCTCCTCCCTCACTCTCTTCTTCAACTGTAAAAAGCTTAAAAGAAATTATTTAAAATTCCAAAGAAGCATAAAATAGATCCTGGCCTCTTGAAAATGTCAAGTATTTCAGTGTTCACCAAAATGTCATTATTTACTCTCATTTATTCATAAAGACTTGGAGGATATGCAAGCCCTGAGAGGCCAATGAAATATCGCTGGGCATCCATGAAAGTACTTTATTGAAGTTAATCTAATTTATTCTTTTATTGCTGATGCTTTGATTGCTATTTCTATTTACTCCATACATTATAGCAATGCCCAGTAGTTCCAATGGGAGGAGATCTCCTGATGCCAGGTACTGTACGCACACAAACTCTGTTGCAGGAAGTTTACAGGCCCCCATAAAAATGGCTTCTGAAGAATCAGTAAAGAGAAGTGCAAAATGAAGCTCATTGCAATTAACGCGTTTGGTTTGAAGGTGCTTCACTCCACCTGCCAATTCCATGGGTATAAAGAGCAGATTTAGGGAGAATGACAGTAACATTGCGACAGGTTCATATCTGCCCTCTGCTCTTTCTGTGGTGCATGCAAGCTTGGCAACAGCCTTTAGTGGGCTCAGGTGCCTTGTTTCTGTCTCTGATTTACTTAAGAGCATGACAAGAAACATAGGAAGAAGTCCAGAGAAGAGCAATGTTATTAGTGAAGTGTCTAGAGCACAGGTCTGATGAGGAGTGGCTGAGGAAGCTGAGGTTGGTTAGCCTGGAGAAGAGGAGGCTCAGGAGTGATGTTATCAATCTGTTCATCTACCTGAAAGGTAGCCAGGTGGGGGTCAGTCTCTTCTCCCAGGCAACTAACAGTAGGATGAGAGGACATAGACTTAAGTCTTAGTCTTAATAATCAAGGGAGATTTAGGTTGGGCATTAAGAAGAATTTCTTCACAGAAGAGGTGATTAGACATTGCAATGGGCTGCCCAAGGAGGTGCCATGGTCCAGTTGACAAGGTGGTGCTCGGTCAAAGGTTGGATTCGATGATCTCAGAGGTCTTTTCCAACCTAAATCATTCTGTGAAAACACCATCCTGGGCTGGTTTAAATTCCCATGCTGTACACACCTAGCCCTCTATAGGTTAAGGAAAGCCCCCATGCTGGTGGTACCTTTCTGAGCCCCAAGGGAGCTCAGCTGTACTGGCACAGCACCCCACCTTGCCAGTGCTAGGGCCAGGTGGTCTGGGGACAGCAATCCTAACACAACTGTCACACACCTGACCTAGAGTGAGTACTGCAGCGCTGCACTTCCACCACACAGACTTACCACCCCCATATCTTTATTGCAGTACTGCAATATGCCACTTTCCTGTAAGGACAGATGCTACATGAAGAGGTCCGAGCAGAACAATTCAGGGAAGGGAATGATGCTTTTACACATCACTGTTTGGGTTTGTTTTGGTGGATTGCCCTTTTTAAAAAAACGTGCCGTTTGCTGTGCTGCCTTCAACAGCCTGGACACTATTGGCTCCTTCACAATTGTCCCTGGATGTTGTCAGACCTCTTGGAGCTCCTTCACTGCACTTCATTGTTTAACAGATTACAACATGGATCTTCCATCTGTCTGGCTCTCATAAGATGGACACTATGCTCAGCAATAACTTGTAAATCTTGTAAGTACAGATAATACAAATACAGCAGTAACTATGTGATTAGCTGGGTTTCAGAAGCAGTTTTCTAGGATACACATTTTAACTCCATTTAAACTTCCTTTTAGAAGCCTAATGTTGGCAAATATTAAGAAACTACCAGCTTTCAAGAGTTTCTATATTGTCCATTGTGGACAATCAGAAAACATAAGTTTGGCCCCAAAATTATTAGCTATAAAGTAACATAGATGGGCTGTTGAATTTGTCCTTTGGAAATTAAGAACTTTGTATGTACTCAGGTTATGTTTTTTCAACCTCTGTCTGCGACTAGAAAAATTTCTTTGGGTGAACAACAATTTGAGAGGTTAAATTCTGATATTACCACATCTTGTTTTTAAGAGCAGTAGGGGAAACATCAAGAGTCTCCGGAGCTCTTAACACTACTTGTTTAAATTTTTCCATATTCAGTGTTATTCCTGACAACTCAGGTCTAGAATTCCTAAGCTTACATGAGAATCCTAGCTCTCACAAGAAAAAATATGAAGTTTTAGTTCTTTACATGTAAATTAAAAAAACATACGCAAATTCTTAAGGGAAGGATCAGGGTTTTTTTCTTGTCCCAATAATAAGACCTTAGTAGTGTGAGGTTTCTACTTTTTTCCAATTTACCTTCCCCCAGTCCAAAGTCTCTGGCCTCACTTGGAGGGCAGGAAATAATTCAGAGATGGGCACACACTAGTCAGAGAGCCAGGCTCCCAGGCTCTTGTGAGGAATTCCTATGTCACTGGAAAAAGCAAAGAGCAAAAAAATTGCCACACTAAAGAAAGCCAAACAACTAGAAGTTAGAAAGAAGTAAAGGCCTGGGAGTCTACTGTACTCAAGTGTCAAATTAACAGTTTAATTTTCATCAGTATTTGTTTTTCAAAGTTTTTTTCAGTCCAGCAATGAGTTTGAAAACTTGCTTTGCAAAGGGTTTACTTATTTGACACAAAGCAAACTATAACCAAATGTTTCCCTGACAAAACTTAATGGAGTAATTTGTATATATATTTAGTTCAGTTTTAACATTTGGATATTTATATTTTTTTATTTGGCTGCTGTGAGCCAGAGTCAGCAGACAGGACACATCAACCCTCGGGAACTGCAGAAGCAAAAGGTGCGGCCTAAAGAGAGAACCATATGAGCAAGTGTTTAATTAGATCATGTCTTTCTGTGTCTAAACAATTATTTACTCCCTTGTCGTTTTCCCTCAACACATTCTGTGCTAACACCAAAGACCTTTGGTCTTTCGTGCTCTCCACACTGCACTTGGTGGCTTTAACAGACTTTACTCTTTGCAGGTAACGTCTCAGGTTTGTCATGGTGTACGCTACAGTGCGGACAAAGGCAATGTTGGATAGCTTGTAAGAGATGTTTAATAAACCATCATGAAGCTGTCAGCTGTAGCAGGAGACTGGAGTACAGGAAAACTTTTCA